CACCGAGTACTCGAGCCTGTATAAGCACCACGTGGTGCACACACACTGCAAGCCCTACACCTGCAGCACCTGCGGCAAGACCTACCGGCAGACCTCCACCCTGGCCATGCACAAGCGCAGCCCCCATGGCGAGCTGGAGGCCACCGAGGAGAGCGAGCAGGCCCTCTATGAGCAGCAGCAGCTCGAGGGTGAGGGGCATGGGCCGGAGGTGAGAGTGGGGACAAGCCAGGCCTCCCCTTGGCCATCCGGTGGCAGGGGTCAGCCTGGGCTCTCCTCTCCCAGCCGCCTCTGCAGCCGAGGAGAGCCCACCACCCAAACGACCTCGCATTGCTTACCTTTCGGAGGTGAAAGAAGAGGGTGATGACATCCCAGCCCAAGTGGCTATGGTGACTGAGGAGAACGGGGCCCCCCAGGTGGCTTTGATCACTCAGGATGGTGCCCAGCAGGTACCGGCCCTGGGGGTGGGGGTAGGGATGGGGGGCACTCTGGCTAGTACCTTCGCCCTCTCTCTCTGGGGAGCCTGGAAGTTCTGACAGCCCCACCTCCACCCAGTTCCTCTCTCTAGCCTCTGGCTGTCAGTGAGCTGAGGCTGAGTCTTGTAACAGCCTCTCCTCATGCTTCCAGGGGTCTCTGGGGCTTCTGGAGCACAGTTAGTTGCCCTCCTTACTTGGAGGCTGACAGGTCCTGACCACTTGAATGAGAGACACTTGGATGTCCTTCTCAGGAGAGGCGTGCTGGTGCAGAGGCCAGAGCACGGGGTGGCGATTCTAGCCAGCAGTAAACCTGACCTTGTCAGCACCCTCACTGTCAAGTGCACTGTGCCTTCGGGAGTTGGCATAGGATGAATTAGGTGGAGACCCTGAGTTGCATGGAACAGAACCCTGCGGCAAAGTGGTGGTAATGGAAGTGGTCAGCGGAGTGGTCCAGTGTAGCCTCTGTACAGCCCAGGACCTGTTTCATTGCTTGTCCCTGACCACCTGTGACGTGCAGCCCATCTCCTAGGTTACCGATAAGTTAACCTTGCTCGGGAGGGAGGGCAACATCCTCCCAGGGGCTTCCAGACAACCCAGCACTGCACTCCCAGCTCACCTTCCTCCTTCCTGTTGGCAGGTCAGCCTGTCCCCGGAAGACCTGCAGGCCCTGGGAAGTGCCATCAGCATGGTGACCCAGCACAGCAGCACCGCCCTCGCCATCCCCCGTCCCGACGATACCCTTGCCGCATCGGGCACACATACAGTCACCATGGTCCGCGCCGATGGCTCCCAGACGCAGCCCGTATGACCAGGCAGTTTGCTTGGGGCTTCTTGTTCTCTTGTCCTTCCTTTCCGTTGGGTGGACATTTAAGTGCAGGCTAAACTAGTCAAGCTTTCTTATGGGGACCCAGATTCCCCTACAAAAAGGGCATTCCCATCAGCCATTCCCTGTGGAGAAGCAGTTTGAAATCTCAATCTATCCCTTATTTGTTTGCTACCACAGGCACGTCACTTTTTATGCCTTTTTGTCCATTTCGAATGAGGGAGCTAAATGATCTCTGGGGCCTTTTACAGCTCTGTCCTATGACTCAAAATCCCTAAATTAATTTAGAGAAAAACACAGCATCAGTGAGCTCTGAACCCCAATTAATCTGACCCAAAATGGTTTGATCCGCTCTCTTCAGGGTTTTCCCAGCCTTCTTATTGGAGGGATTTGTTTGGATTGGGGGGAGGGAGAGTAATGTAGGTGAGTTGGAAAACCTCTTTCATCTGTATTTCAGGTCACAATCATCACCTCTGGGGCTGTGGTGGCCGATGACTCAAGTGTAGCACCCCTTCATCATCAACAGGTGGCGCTGTTGGCCACAGCCAACGGAACGCACATTGCTGTGCAGGTGGGTAGAGGTCTGGGAGGATCCCACCACCAGAGAAAGGAGCCAGGAGGGGAGAGGAGTTAGATCAGGGGTGGGCAAACTTTTTGACTCGAGGGCCACAATGGGTTCTTAAACTGGACCGGAGGGCCGGAACAAAAGCATGGATGGAGTGTTTGTGTGAACTAATATAAATTCAAAGTAAACATCATTACATAAAAGGGTACGGTCTTTTTTTTTTTTTTTTTCAGTTTTATTCATTTCAAACGGGCCGGATCCGGCCCTCGGGCCGTAGTTTGCCCACGGCTGAGTTAGATGGAGATCTTGAGAAGGGCATTTGTCTCAAAAGGGGCTCACTTCAGAGGAAAAATACCTTTCTTCCTAAATCCACATGCCTGTCTCGGCCCTTTCTTGACTGAGGCAGAGTGGAGCAGCCCCTTCCAGCCTTCACAGTAACTTCAGTGGCAGTCCACCTGGTGGTCTAAACCCTTCGTCTCTTCCTAGCTTTATTTCTTCACCAGGAAAAGAAGGAGGCTCTCCAACCAGTCGTTCCCTTCTGTGAACAAGCCCGTCTCTCTGACCCTGGACCATTCTGTGGCTCCCTGGCCATACCTAGCCTAACAGGACTCTTCACCAGTGAACCTCCTGTTAATGGGGCTCCACTAAGTGCTCAGTGTGTGGCACTGGGTGGATGGAGGGAATTCAAAAAGTAGGCCACATACCACCACCCCTCGAACCTAGAAGAGGGTCTCACTCTCTCCTCCTCTCTCCACAGCTGGAGGAGCAGCAGACCTTGGAGGAGGCCATCAGCGTGGCTACTGCTGCCATGCAGCAAGGGGCCGTGACCTTGGAGGCCACAGAGACAGGGAGCGGCTGCTGAGTCCTGGAGGGCTGGGTCCCGTACATGGAGGAGGCACCGTGCCGCATAGCCATCCTCGCCTCCACAGGCGCAGGCTGAGGCTGACACGTGGGAGGTAGCCACGTAGTCTCCAGGGTGAGAAGACAGCAGGAAAATGGCCTAACTGAAGGGGATGGGAGCCCTGCCCAAGAGGAGGGCTGAACAGCCGTAATCAGGGGAGTGTGTCATCCTCAGGAGCTGAGGACAAGCGTGGTCACCAGGCTGCACCGGGGCGTCCTCCCCTCAAAATCAGCTGGGCACCCACTGTCCTCTCTCCAGAGAACACCCTTCCTGCCCTCCCACTCCCCTTCTCAGGTGGCAATTGGGGCTTCTGTGGGGATTGGTCATCCACTCGGACTGGTCGCTGTCCACCAGGAGAGAGGCAGACAGGTCTTCAGCCCAGTAGGAACAGAACAGCCCCAGCCCTGCCCCTCCCAGCAATAACCACCTCCCCAGAGGCCAGCGAGATGCCTGGTCACCTGGCAGCGGGGTACTTCCTGCTGCCACAGTCAGAATTGCTCAGGGGCCTGTGGCTGGAGAAAAGGTGCCCGACCGCCCCCCATCCCCATCTGCCCCTCAACCTCTGTGGTAGAGGCAAGGAACAGCCTGTACATACTGGGGATTGGGTTTAATTTTCTAAATTGCATTTTGATAATTTTTTCCTGCTGTGAGCAGTGGTGGCAAACGGGTGAATGAGTATTTAATAAAGTTTCAAGTTTCCACCTGGGTCCCTCCATTTCTTTCAGCTTTGAGCCCTGTTGACCGGGCCGGTCAAATCAGGCGCTTAGCTCTGTATCCCTGGCACAAACTCCATGGAGCCTTGGTGCTGGACTGGTGGGACTGCCCTCCCAGGGCACAGGTGGGAGGTAGCCCTGAGGAGCTGCCAGTGGCTTCCTGCCCACAGCCAATCAGGTGGGCTTCACGGTGGTCAAGCAGGACCAGTGCAACCACTGCTTCCAGGTTCTGGTGGGATCTCTGACCTTGTGTTACGTAGTCAGAGCTCGTCCAGACCCAGTCAGCTGCTCCAAGTGGACAAAGCCCCGCATCGGAGGGGGCAGGGGTACCTTTGCTCAGGTTACTGAGGGTCCCTGGTGCTGAAGTCCTGGCTCTGGTACCCAGCTCTGAGGGTGCCCACCTCGGTGTCTGGAGCCATGCCATGGAATTCCAAAACCACAGTCAGACCCCACCAAAAACTGTGGTAGGACCAGACCAGCCCTGACAGGAGGGAAGGGCTGCGGGAGAAGGGATTTGATGGAAAGAATCTTTGGGTTTGACCCCTCCTGCCTGGGAACATTGCGGGGATTGGAGGTGCCCCAGGCCACTTCCTACCACCCAGGAACGGAACCCTCTCCCCCAGCCCACGTGTCCTCTCCTCTCCTGGGATGCCTAGCAAGGTCCCACTTACCCTGCACCTGCTCCATGGAGGCAGGGGGCCTGGGCCATGCCCCAGGGAGGCGATTTCTCAAATGCCTAAGTTGGCACCTTCAACATCCATGACCCCTGTTCCCGGCGGGAGGGTGTCCGGGCCCTGATGGGCACTGGATCTAAAACAACTGGAAGCACTGCTCTGGAGCCCTGAGCCCCAAGCCTCTGCTACCCCACCCTGTGTGCCTCAGACACAGCCTGGTCCTCAGGGCCAGGGGCCCGAGTGGGCAATGCTCTGAGTGCCTTTAGAGCCAAAGCCCGGAGGACAGGAGGCAGCAGGTCACGTGCCAGGTCCGCCTGACCTGGAGAAGCCCTGGCCCAGTCCCACAGTTCTGTGCCACTGCCTTTGTCTCCTGCCTGGGAGGAGCCCCCACCCCCCAGTCCTGTCAGATGGCACTAAAGGAATGCTTTGTCCAGCGCCTACTCTGCTTACGGCCGCTCTCGGGCCTTCTTACAACTCGGGGGCTGGGTGTTTTTCCTGCTTTACCAATGGGGAAGCTGCTCAAGGAGGTTAAGTAGTTTATGTCGGATCTGGTAAGTGTGGAATGAGACTGGACCCCCCTCACCCCCATGTGACTCCAAAGCCAGGCTGGGCCTGCGTCTGCCCACAGCAGGCTGTCTCTGGCAGCCCAGGGGCCAGCGGAACAGACCTGGGGCCCCAGCTCTGGGGCTTGGGCCTCGCTGCCTTGGCGAGTGAAGCCACAGAGCCCTGCAGGAGCAACAGGCTGGCCCCGCCAGTCAGCACAGGCAGCCGGCGAGCAGGCAGGTGGAGCTCTCGCCCCGCGCCAGCCCCTCTGTGGTCTCGGCAACCGTTTGCATTTCCTGAAACCGGATCTCGGTGTCAGAGCCACCGTGGGCGGGCGCCTCAGCCATGGCCCTGCGAAAGGAGCTGCTGAAGTCCATCTGGTACGCTTTCACCGCGCTGGACGTGGAGAAGAGCGGCAAGGTCTCCAAGTCCCAGCTCAAGGTGAGGGCACGCGGGGCCCAGGGAGGCTGGCAGACACCCACGGGCCCCGCCGCTGAGCCAGGCGTGAACACTGAACTCTCGGGCACCCAGCCATCGAGAGGCCCGGGCATGGAGGGGGCCAGTACTGGGTGGCTGCTGCCCACTGTCCGGGGAGCGGGGGCGGTGCAGAGCCATCGCCCAGAGCCTGCCCCGCCGATGTCGGGATGTTGAGGCGGCATCATGGTTTCTGAGGGCCACGGGCCAGGTGACGTCCGAGACTCCGTGCGATGAGTACACATCGCCCCGGAGTCAATCAAGCTTGGGCACGTACCCTGCTCCTCCCTGCTTCTTCCTCCTGCCTTTGAAGAGAGACAGTTAGCTAATGCTTGTCAGTCACTTCCGCGGCCGAGAGGTTTACAGAGCCTTTCCCAGTCCAAACTGGCCGAGGTCTCCTTTGGCTGAACTGCTCCTGGGAAGCCTGCCTCCCAGCGGGACTGAGCTGGGAAGGGCTTTATGCTGATGCCTACCTCCCCGTCCCCTACCTCTCCTTCCCCCTCCCCCCACTTCGGGTTAGAGAACTGTTGCCTTAAGCTTTGAGACCTCAGATAGGAAGGGGATGGAATCTGAGCCCAGGGAGAGCCATTGGCGATTGCCCTGAGGTTCGCTGGCCCGAGCAGTGCCTGGTAGGCCCAAGGGTTTCTCTCCTTCCTTCGTCCAGTCCTGTGGGAATGCTGTCTTCTCCACCCTAGTGAGTGGGCAAGAAGCAAGACCCTAGGCCTGTGATTTTTCAACCCATGTGCTGCAAGAATTGTTAAAACATGCAATGCCTATTTAGTCAGGGGCACTGACCTCTTTGCCCTTAGATTTCCAAATAAAAAAATAACAACAGCCAACACCACAATAGCCGTCCGGTGTGAATGAATCAAAATTATACCTGCCCTGGCCAGTTTGCTCAATGATGAGAGTGTTGGCCCACAGACCCATGAGTCTTGGGTTCGATTCCAGTCAAAGGCATGCACCTTGGTTACAGGTTCAATCCCAGTTGGGGCGCAAGAAGGAGGCAACCTCCCTTTCACACTCTCTAAAAATCAATGGAAAAAATATCCTCACTCCTTGAGTGAAGATTTTTTTTTTAATTTAAACTTTTCTGTGTGTGTCAGATTGGCAGAAAATATAATATATTTTGGTGTGCCACAGAATTTTAGTAATTATGTGTGCTGTGAGATGAAAAGGGTTGAAAATTGCTGCCCTGAACTATTAGAACCAGGAAACAGTGAGAGACGGGAGCAGGGTAGGCCTCAGCTCTCTGGACCTGCCTTAGGGGCTCATTCATTCACTCGGCAAATATTTATTGATCACCAACTATGTACCTGGCATGAGGCTAAGGCCCTAGATTCCTGGTGTCTCCGCTGGGCACTCCCAAATAGGGGTGTAGTCTCAAGGAAATCTCCATTCTTAATGACCAAGGTAGGAGGTGCCTAGAAACCGGAGGTGAATGGAACTGGGTAGGTGTTATCCCCATCCTCATTCCAACCGCCTATCCTGCTGATCTTGGAGGCAATGTCACTGGCTGTCCCAAACTGGTCCTGTCCCGTAACCTAACCCTTAGCCAGCCTGTGAGCACCCAGTAAATGATTCCACTACGCCTTTGATCACCTGGGAGAACAGCGCTACTGGCAGGTTCTTCCCTATAGTCTACTTCAATTCGTTTATTGCCGCTCATGTCATCTAGCGGGGTTTTCAGTTTAGACAGAAGAAATGCAGATCATCCAAAATCCATCTCTTCTTGAGCCTCTGTCTTGGCCTCTAACCAGGCCAGTGGCTGCTCCCCACCCCACAGGTTGAGTATTTGCAGGGACGATTCCATGAGAAGCTTGCATACTTGAACTGTTTGCTGTCTTTACAACTCAAACTGAGCCCACAGCAGCCTCTTTAGTCACACGAGGTCAGTGGTGGATTTCTCCCTCCACACGACAGAAAACTGGCTCACTCTGGGAACCTGAGCTGGCTGTGAGAGTCTCCCGCAGGTGGTGGATGGGGCATAAATATGGAGCCCGTGCCATCTGAGGTGAACCCTGGAATGGGAGGAAGTAGTGATAGTGTTGGGGGTGGGGATGCCGGAAAGGCAAGAGAGCAATAGAGAAGTGGTCAGAAGGCGGAGGAAGAAGCAGATGAGAGAGAGATATCCAACCTCTCCCCCCTTTTTTTTTCTTTTTAAAATTAAATCTTTATTATTCAGATTATTACAGTTGTTTCTCTTTTTTCCCCCATAGCTTCCCTCCCCCCGGTTCCCACCCCACCCTCTGCCCTTACCCTCCCCCCGAACACTGTCCTCATCCATAGGTGTACGATTTTTGTCCAGTCTCTTCCCGCACCCCCCACACCCCTTTCCCCTGCCGAGAATTGTCAGTCCACTCCCTTCTATGCCCCTGATTCTATTATAATCACCAGTTTATTCTGTTCATCAGATTATTTATTCACTTGATTTTTAGATTCACTTATTGATAGATGTGTATTTGTTGTTCATAATTTGTATCTTTACCTTTTTCTTCTTCTTCCTCTTCTTAAAGGATACCTTTCAGCACTTCAAATAATACTGGTTTGGTAGTGATGAACTCCTTTAGCTTTTACTTATCAGTGAAGCTCTTTATCTGACCTTCAATTCTGAATGATAGCTTTGCTGGGTAAAGTAATCTTGGTTGTAGGTTCTTGCTATTCATCACTTTGAATATTTCTTGCTACTCCCTTCTGGCCTGCATAGTTTCTGTTGAGAAATCAGCTGACAGTCGGATGGGTACTCCCTTGTAGGTAACTGACTGTTTTTCTCTTGCTGCTTTTAAGATTCTCTCTTTGTCTTTTGCTCTTGGCATTTTAATTGTGATGTGTCTTGGTGTGGTCCTCTTTGGATTCCTTTTCTTTGGGGTTCTCTGCACTTCCTAGACTTGGAAGTCTATTTCTTTCACCAGGTAGGGGAAGTTTTCTGTCATTATTTCTTCAAATAGGTTTTCAATATCTTGCTCTCTCTCTTCTTCTGGCACCCCCATAATTCGGATGTTGGTACGCTTGAAGTTGTCCCAGAGGCTCCTTACACTATCTTCATATTTTTGGATTCTTTTTTCTTTTCCGGTTGGGTGTTTTTTGCTTCTTCGTATTTCAAATCTTTGACTTGATTCTTGCGATCCTCTAGTCTGCTGTTGGAACTTTGTATAATATTCTTTATTTCAGTCAGTGTATGTTTAATTTCTAGTTGGTCCTTTTTCATAACCTCGAGGGTCTCACTAGATTTCTTGAGGGTCTCACTAAATTTATCAGCGGTTTCTAGAAAATTCTTGAAAAACCTTGTAACCGTGGTTTTGAACTCTATATCCAGTGGTTTGCTTTCCTTCATTTCTGTCATTTGTGACCTGTTTCTTTGTCTCTGCATTTTTTATGCTTTCCTGTGATGATAGAGTGGCTTTCTGTGCTAGGTGTCCTATAGGGCCCAGTGGCTCAGCCTCCCCAATTACCTGAGGTGGACACTGTTGGTGCACCCCTTTGTGGGCTTTGTGCACAGTCTTGTTGTAGTTAAGCCTTGATTGTTGTAGGTATCACTGGGAGGAATTGACCTCCAGGCCAATTGGCTGTGAGAATCAGCTGTGTCTGCAGTGGGAGAACTTCTGTGCTGGAGACACCCTTCTGGGGCAAGACTTGCTTCAGTGGGGCTTTGGTGCTCACTGAGTCTGCCCCCTGAGTGTGTCCCTTATGGATCTGAGGAGTTGTAATCTGAATGGTCCCACTCTGACCACTGGGTACACTGGCTCTTAGCATCTCTAAGGAGGTACTAATTTAGCCTCTGCCTGAGGCTACCCAGCAGGAGCTATGGAGAGATCTGCAGATTCCTCTTCTTTGTTTGGGGTTTGGAGGTGCCCAGATGAGGCCCAGCTGTGAAGCAATGCAAGCTGCTGTGGGGCCTTGGGCCTTTTTTTGGAAGTTCTGGGTCTCTCTGACCCAGCTGCAGTTTGTTAGGTAATTTTCAGATTGCAAAGGGCATATGCAAAAGCCTCTGTGCACAGCTTGGGTGGGATGGGGTCTCAGGGGATCAACAGGGCAGAGCAAACAGCTATGGCTGCTCCTCAGTCCTACCCTAAGAGGCCCCGTGTCTCAGTGTCCCGGTAATCGCTGCAAGCACCTCTGAGAGAAAGCTGCCCTCGAGTTCCGACCCATGCCAGACAGTCCAGTTTCTCCGTATGAGTCTGTGTCCCCAGAGACTCGCCCGGAACTGGATTTCAGAACAGTCGGAGCTTGAGACTCAATCCCGATTGAAAAAGACAACCGCGTCCTCAGTTGCCAGCCCTTTCCGCGTGCGCCTTCCTACCTCTGCACTTTACTTCCGCAGCTCCTCTGAGTCTCAGTGTGCTTTTCTCTTTTCTTCTAGTTGTAGAATTTCCACTCAGCCAGCCTTCCTGTGGTTCTGGATGATGTCCGTTTTGTCTTTTAGTTGTATTTTTGAAGTGGTTGGGCGAGGCAGCAATTTCCGGTGTTTACCTATGCCGCCATCTTGGTTTCACCCTCCACCCTCTCCCCTTTAAAAAAACTTGGGGAGAAGGGATAAGTTGGGGGTAGCATCTCCTCACTAAAACTGCCCCTGGGCTGGGAGTCCTTGGTTAGAACCAAGCAGGAAAACTGCACCAGCCAGAGCCTGCTATATGTGTCTGTGAAGTCGCCACTTCTGCTCTGATGTGTTGGTAGAAGGGCTGCCACTGACTGTCCTGGGCAAAGCCGTGGTGAGGCCAGAGGGAAGAGGAAGAACAGCAGGTCCTCTGAACAGTAGCCCAAGGGGTCAGGAGTGTTTTCTCTGGAGAAGAGAAGGCTAGGGGCGAGATCAGATGCGTTTTCCTCTCTTTGAATTCTTTTAGAAAGTACAGTGCTCTTTATCCAGTTGGGTTGAGAACACTGAAAATAGAGCAATAGGGCCCAGCCGGCGTGGCTCAGTGGTTAAGTGTCGACCTATGAACCAGGAGGTCATGGTTCGATTCCCGGTC